AGAACCCTTGGAAACGCTCAGGGGCACAATGTCTGTTATCTAATACGCTATTCACACACAATTTGAGAATAGCACGTTTTCACGAACCATCAAAATAGTCTGGCAATTGGGAAAACACATCATTATAATAAATAAATAAATAATAATTAAATATTTCCAACACTCACATCAATTAGCCTAGCCCCTAAGTAAGCATTATAAGGCTTGTGTTATTGGATACTAGGGTAACGGATAGAATACATAATTATACTGTACATATATAAGTATATTTATATAGAAATACATCTTGAGCATCCTTGACTGGAGTACAAATGCTCGGATTCATCACACAAACATCTGCCATGTGCGTCTGGACTGAGTGATCTTTTCAAAAAACTCATCCAATCACAACCAAATTATAAGAGGATTTAGGAAATAATTGTGAAAACTTAATGGTAAGGTATAAAATTTGTGAAACCTAAACAACGAAAGTTAGAACTAATTAACTGGATCGCTCAATCTGGACACCTGAAGAATAAGCCATAACGCGTATCCAAGAAAATACTACCAAATAATACTGCTAAACAAATTTTCGATTCATTTCAAAGCCACGTTTAAGATTTAGAACGGTTTATATGGATCACTCAGAATGCACTATGTTCATTTGAGTGATCTTTTAAAACACTACCTTATACTGAAAATGTATGAAACATTTTCATGTTTATTATCAATTATGCTTCTGGGAAAATTTGTGAAACAAAGATCGGGATTGAAATCTTACTGGTTTAAGAGAAAACGCAAAATCTTGTTTTTTCTCGATCGTCCCAACTGAGTGATCCTTATCTTGAACTATATTTAAGAACCCAAACTTATAGGTTTTCACAGAAATTGTGAAAAATGTTGTACTCAAATTTGACGAATCAATCATCCCAGTAAGTGTTATATTTTAAAAGGTAACTCATTTTTTACAATCCTTAAGGAAAACGTTAAGTAGGGTACTTGTACTTTTTTATTTTGTCGGATTTTTTTTCGACTACCCTATTCAATGCTAAAATTGTGAATATTCATTGCAATTTGCGAAGCTGGCGGCGTTGTGCAGTGCATTTAATGCAAGTTTGTTTATAGTTTTTTTTATATAGATAGGTCTGACAAATGACTCCACCCCACCTGATGTTAAGTAAAGGTAAAGTCCAGACGCGAAGATAGCAGATACAGCAGTTCTACCTGCCACATCAGCCATCTTCACCCTGCCGGGCTCCAAGTTGCTTTTTCACGCCTCTTTTAAAGGATCCCAGGTTGTAAGGGGGAGCGAACACGTGAGCGGGCAGAGCATCCCATTTACGGATAGTGCGACAAAGAAATGAGTCACCAAATTTCTTTGTACGCGTTGGAATTGTGGCCACAGTTAGGCGGTGACAACGTAGGCCAGCGCGCGTGGTCCTCTGAAGGAAAGGTGGAATGAGAGAGAATAACTCCTCAGAACACTCGCCGTGGTATTGACGATAGAACGCGCTTAGTGACGCCACGTCACGGTGTAATTGAAGAGGCTCAAGGTGTTTAGTCACCTCCTCATCGCCTATGATGCGGATCCGCGCCGCTGTAAACTATTCAAAGCATCGAGCTAGTACTTTGAAATTAGGCATCGTTGTGCTACAATGGGGCTATGATGGTGGCAGTGCAATGAATGAAGTCCCGATAATATTGGCCACTACAGAGGACATGGTGTCCATAACGAAAAAATAGTCTGTTATGATGATTTGATGGGAAAAATGTATAACAGCAAAGAAGAAGAACCAGTTATTTTACATACTTTGTCCTACGGATTTACTGATTAGGTAACATTCTAGTAGACTTGAATGTTAGAAAAAACTTAGAATAATAGAAAGTTAATTTCTTTGGTTACTTAAAAAATTTTGATCTTTTTTTGTGTATAGAATTCCTTAGTATGATAAACCTAATACCTAACTTTGCTGAAAATTTGTCACTTAAAAACGTCATTTTACGTTAAAATTAGGTCTTAAATAGTGAAAACACTCTAAAAACAACTTTAAAACTTCTAAAAACAAAACTTACACAACTCTCGGTACTCAAGTAAACCGATATGGTCACCCTACTCAACGTTTTCCTTAGGGATTATAAAAATGAGTTATCTTATAAATATAACACTTACTGGGACGATTGGTTCGTTAAATTTTAGTACAACATTTTTCACAATTTTTCTGATGTAACTACCTTCTACCTATAAGTTTGGGTTCTTAAATATAGTTCAAGATAAGGATCACTCAGTTGGGACGATCGAGAAAAAACAAGATTTTCATTTTCTCTTAAACCAGTAAGATTTCAATCCCGATCTTTATTTCACAAATTTTCCCAGAAGCATAATTTATAATAAACATGATAATGTTTCATACTTTTTCAGTATAAGGTAGTGTTTCAAAAGATCACTCAAATGAACATAGAGCATTCTGAGTGATCCATATAAACCGTTCTAAATCTTAAACGTGGCTTTGAAATGAACCGAAAATTTGTTTCGCAGCTTTCACAAATTCTTCACAATTATTTCAAATACAAATTAGTATATTATTAGGTAGTATTTTCTTGGATAAGCGTTATGGCTTATTATTCAGGTGTCCAGATTGAGTGATCCAGTTAATTAGTTCTAACTTTCTTTGTTTCACAAATTTTATACCTTACCATTAAGTTTTCACAATTATTTCCTAAATCCTCTTATAATTTGGTTGTGGTTGGATGAGTTTTTTGAAAAGATCACTCAGTCCACACGCACATACATCTGCCCCCACCGGGATTCGCACCCGGGACCTCTCGAGTCCGCGAAACCATGAAACCACTCGGCCACGGAGGTCATCCAATATGTAATACTAAATATATATCTTAAAATCAGTTTTTATACTGTAACAAAAGTACAATTCATTTCATTGACTTTTAAGGCGCTTTGCAGACGACGGGGCGGGGCGGGCCGGTCAATTTCGCCGCGAATAATAGCACAAAGTGAATCCTATACTTCAAACGCACACAGCGGTCAAAAAGACCGCGCCTTGGGTGCCCGGCGGGCACTGGCGGCGCGGCATGTCCGCGGCTGCCCGCCGTAGATAATACAAACCAGTTTATATGCAGTAACGCAGACGGCGGCGCGGGGCGGTCATGGACTATTCACTAGAACGAACGTCCTAAACTGACCGCCTCTGCCCATCGTGTGCTTTGTGTACGCGGCGCGGGCAGCCGCAGACATCGACGGGTAGACGAGGTCTTTATTGCTTCGCGGACAAAATGCCCGCCCCGGCCCGTCGTCTGCTCAACGCCTTGTTAAGGGTGTCTGGCGGTGGGTGCCACCAGACTAATTGTCTGGCAATGGGTAAGATCATTTTCTAAATGGGTAATATGATTTCACAAATTATGTCTAGTTTAATACACACCTTCGTTACGTGTTACCTGCCAAAGCGACCATAATCTCTAATTCGTAATGAGCCACCGTTCGTACCTGTGCTCGAGGTGTACGCTGAAAAACTTTCAGTTTTAATTTTATCAAATAACGAAGGTCTGGCGGCCATTGGCAGAATGAATGTACAGGATTATGACTATAGAATCATAATCCTGAATGCATATTTTTTTATGTCTGAACAGTAAGCCACCGTAATCTAAAATTTGTAATGAGCCACCGTTCGTACCTGTGCTCGAGGCGTACGCTGATAAACTTTCAGTTTTTGTTTATCAAATAACGAAGGTCTGGCGGCCACGGGCAGAATGAATATACAGAATTATGAATATAGAATCATAATCCTGAATGAATATTTTTTTTTGTCTGAACAGTCTGTCAGTAGGACACGGCATTCCTAAACTTTGTTGAATCAGTTTTTGAAGTTATACTTCTTTAGGCGCGTTATGAAAAAATGATGAGAGTGAAATTTTAAGATGCGCGCGCATCACTGTAACACAAAATTTTAACAGCATGAAGTTGGTCGCTAAAGCGACCAACTTCATGCTGTTAAAATTTTGTGTTACCGCACATTAAGAAAATCTACCAACAAAATAGAAATAGAATCTCTATTTAGTGGGTGCTAACGACTGCATTGTGAAGGCCTATCAAAAGTATTTATTAATCTGGAACAACGGAACCAAAGCGCGATTCAGGAGACTACAGCGCCATCTCTTGACCATTGGTGTAGTAGAACCAAAAACCACATCTTTATTTTTTGTAATAAAGTAACAGTTATAGGTATTCATATTTATAATATCAAAAGTATTTATTAATCTGGAACAACGGAACCAAAGCGCGATTCAGGAGACTACAGCGCCATCTCTTGACCATTGGTGTAGTAGAACCAAAAACCACATCTTTATTTTTTGTAATAAAGTAACAGTTATAGGTATTCATATTTATAATATTTATCCACATGTTTCTAGTTTGTATATTCGGAATACGTGTTTGAGTTTCATACAAGTGCAAATCACATATGTTCTAATAAATTATATTCAGTAGCGATTTTAATTGAATATTTTGATTATTTATTTATTTTTTCAAATTAAAACTGAACTTTATTGACGGTGTCCTTTTCCAGATTTTTTATTAATTTATTGCAATTAATTATTTGCATGCAATTAAAAACTAATTTTAAAACATGCCAAAGAAGGATAACTTCTCACGAGCTTACATAAGTACACGCACCCATTTTTGTTTTATATTCTTTTATTTTATAGTCATAGTTTTTATATCATTATCATTTGTAATGGAAAGTGACTTCATGAATTATGTCATATTGAAGTCATTTTTCAATTTGACTACTCTGTATATAGTACAGGGAGAAAAAAACAGCCTTTGCTGAGTTTCTTGCCGGTTCTTCTCAGTACAAAGTCTCCAGCCGTAGATTTGCGAATCGATGACGTAGCTTTTCGACATTTACAAGTGCTTGTAACAGCCTATACTGAATATTGAATTTTGAAATTATTGATCTTTTTTCTTAAAATTCCCAAAAAATACTTATGAATTCGAGAAATAAATCCAATGTTACGAGATATATATTTCTTTATTAATACAGTTCCACTGGAGTACAAATATAAATTGAAAATTTTTATCCAAAATCATATTCGGACTACAATTCTAACATTCACCTCATCAGTTTCCTGAATAAAATTAAAAACGAGAGTAAAAATAGAATCAAAAGGCCTGATAAAATAGTTTATATGGTAAATTAACTAGGTTATGACTAGGACAAAAATGTAAAGAAATAGAATAAGGGCTAATCATGTCTAAAGACAGTCGAAATAACGTCTACACACAATTCTAGTGGTTGTTTTTTATTGTTCAGGGTGAGTTTTCATTGGGATCTGTCTCCTTAACTTCTCCTGGCACGTAAAAATCTTTTAATTCACATTCTTCGGTACTGTCTAAAATCTGCTTCTGCAATTAAGAAGGTTAGCGTCAAATCTAAAATATTCATTATAAATATAGGACCGGATTTCATTTAGAATCCCATGCTGATGCTATTAATCATTTGCTACGGCTGAAGACTCTTTATGTCTTGGAAAATAATTCAGAGCACTCTTTCTTGTATGCTCAGGTTGAAAGTTGGATGACAAAAGCGATTTTGACCCACTCAGAACAGCTCGTACACTGTTAAATATTACTGGGTCTATATTCAAATCTGGACATTCTCATCAAGCGGGGCGTCACCGTCACTTAACGTGAGGTGAGGGGGGGATCATTTGTTCGGACTACTTCGAGATTGTCTTCCTCCACCTAAGACTATACCTACTACGAGTATATATCTCATCAGTCAAAGCTTCTCCTGATTCATTTCAGCGCGCAGGGGGCGTAAGACCCTGTGCGCGAGGAACTCGCTGGAGCACCGCACGTCACTGTAGTCGCTGCGCATGCGGTTCCCCACCTCCACTTATGACTATACCTACATCGAGTATAGATCTCACCAGTAGCACTTTCTCCTGGTTCATCTCAGCGTGCAAGGAGCGCAAGATCATGTGCGCGAGGAACTCGCTGGAGCACCGCACGTTACTGTGGTCACTGCGCACGTGGTTCTCTATCTCCACCTATGACTATACCTACATTCAGTATAGATCTCACCAGTCGCATTTTCTCCTGGTTCATCTCAGCGCGCAGGGAGCGCAGGCCTTTTTGCGCGAGTAACTCGCTGGAGCACCGCACGTCACTGTAGTCGCTGTGCACGCGTTTCTCCACCTCCACCTATGACTATACCTACATAGATTATAGATCTAACCAGTAGCACTTTCTCCTGGTTCATCTCAGCGTGCAAGGAGCGCAAGATCCTGTGCGCGAGGAACTCGGTGGAGCACCGCACGTCACTGTAGTCGCTGCGCACGCGGTTCTCCACCTCCACCTATGACTTTACCTACATAGAGTATAGATCTCACCAATCGCACTTTCTCCTGGTTCATGTTAGCGCGCAGGGAGCGCAGAACTCTGTGCGCGAGGAACTCGCTGGAGCACCGCATGTCACTGTAGTTGCTGCGCACGCGGTTCTCCACCTCTACCTATGACTATTCCTACATCTAGTATAGATCTTACCAGTCGCACTTTCTCCTGGTTCATCTCAGCGCGCAGGGAGCGCAGGCCTTTTTGCGCGAGTAACTCGCTGGAGCACCGCACGTCACTGTAGTCGCTGTGCACGCGTTTCTCCACCTCCACCTATGACTATACCTACATAGATTATAGATCTAACCAGTAGCACTTTCTCCTGGTTCATCTCAGCGTGCAAGGAGCGCAAGATCCTGTGCGCGAGGAACTCGCTGGAGCACCGCACGTCACTGTAGTCTCTGCGCACGCGGTTCTCCACCTCCACCTATGACTATACCTACATAGAGTATAGATCTCACCAATCGCACTTTCTCCTGGTTCATCTCAGCGCGCAAGGAGCGCAAGATTCTGTGCGCTAGGAACTCGCTAGTGCGTCGCACGTCGCCGCAGTCGCTGCGAACGCGGTTGTCTACCACCGCCGAGGCGAGTCCTTCTACCGCTTCACCCCACTCCACTGACATAAATAAATTAAATACATATTTAAAATTATGATTTGATCGTGCTTTATGGCGCTCTGTACCCTTAGCACTAACCAATATCGAATTCGTTAGGTGCGAGTACGAAACGTCATTAAGAAATGTTGTATGGAAACTTGAACAGCAGCGCCACAACGGACGAACGAGATTTAAAATACTGAGACATTTGAAGCGTATCGAGATAATGTCTCCGATAATGGTTCGTGCTTAGGGTACTTACGGTTCTCTCTGCTTAACCCACAAGCCTCCTTAGCATGACCATCAAAACGATACGATAAAAAGCGATTTATCAAAATTTACTGTCAAACTTCAATCATTGCAAACGAATGACGAATGTCGTGTTCTCTATCTAACTTAATATTTATAATTTTTCTTTTCTGTGTTTATAATGATATCTACCCATCACGTATATTTAAAATATGTATTATTATATATGTAGGGGTATATATTCGTAACAGTATTGGTACGCACTGGGATGCTTCATGTGAGGCAACGTGACCTTGCCCACAGTCACGTCCATGCCATTCTCCACGCGGGCGCTCACGGACCGGGACAGGAGGCGCGCCGCTGCATTCACCATCTGAATAATATCATGTGTTTTATTTTTGTACACAAAGCGCAACAAATTACCCCATCGGAGCCTATTACACTAAAGCGTTGATCACACGTACCCAGCAATCGAGCGAGACAGTGCTCTCGGCCGAGTACTCGGTACGTATAAACATAGCGCCGAGTGCTCGGCCGACCGCTCTTACATGAGTTGTTAACTTTCATCACTGTCTCAACCGAGATACATTTTACTGTCTCGACCGTTTATTCGGTACGTGTGATCATGGCATAAGTTGGCATTAATCACCGACATAATATGTCATTGACATTTATGTAACATTTTGTTACAATTATCCTTATCTCACTTCAACGACAATTATGTTGTGAAACAAGGCTAATTTTAAGTCGACATTTTTTCGACAAATTGCAGTAATTCTTGACATGAAATCGGGGCTGTGCAAGATTTGCGTTACAATAGTAGCGTTTTCTTCGTTAGTTACAAAATGTCTCTCCGTGAATGCGTGAAAAAATAAGTTGTTATACAGGAGAATTTATAAAGAACGAATATTTTTCTTCTTTGATAACACTGATTTCACGTTGAAAGAAAATTTAGATATAACTAGTGGCCCGCCCTTGCTACGCTTCGGTATTTTATCCCCTTGGGGGTAGAATTGATCAAAATCCTTTCTTAGCGGATGCCTACGTCATAACATCTACCTGCATGCCAAATTTCAGCCCGATCCGTCCAATGGTTTGGGCTGTGCGTTGATAGATCACTATGTCAGTCAGTCACCTTTGAGTTTTATATATATAGATAGATAGATGGATCACCCCATAACAAACCGTCTGCTTACATATATCAGTGTAAGTGAAGTTCAGTCGCGAAGTTAGATGATGCAGCAGAAAGTGTACTGCTCCAACCATCCATACATTGCCGCCGGCACAAACCCTGTGGAGTTCTGGAACTCTACTCACCAGCAGAAACACAATACGACCAAAAGGTAGTGTTATTTTACCGTGGTCTACTGTTGCTGGAGCTGGAGATTGCTTCCCTAGACGGACGCTTCATTTCGAGTCGTAAGTTAGGTGTTTTGCCTCAGCTTCATGAAAAGCACTATTATCTTCAATTTTTCCAGGTTTTTCAAGCCAATAGTTTAGCTTTTAGAGGGGGGGGGGGGGGGGCACTCCAACAAAAATTTAAAGTGTAATATTTCGCAAACGGATCCCTAAATCGATTTTTCTTAGAAACCCCTAATTAAAGGACTTATTCAACGATACCCCACACGATAGGGTTGACGATGAATAAAAATCATCCCCAGGTTACATGAAGACATGCAGGGGAGCAAACCTAAAAAAAAAGTTTTTTTAATTTTATTTTACCATTTTGTTGACATGATTTATATACCTACATGTCTTCACAAAGTTACAGCTTTCTTGTGCTAACAGTTCCAAGCAAAACCGGGGACGGACAGACGGAGATGACGAAACCATAAGGGTTTTTTGTACAGAACCCTAAAAACTATAGTAAACGAGGACGCAGACACGGGCAGTCGCTAGTATAGCTATGTAACTAACTTTAGTTTTTTGAAAATCCCGCAGGAACCTAACACTTTTCCGAGATAAATAGTACCCTATGTCTCAATCAAGGTCAAAACTATATGCATCCAAATCCGTTCAGTAGTTTTTGCGTGATTGAACAACAAAAATAAAAAAAATCACATTTGTAGGATGTATTTTTAAAGTAGGATGTATTTATAGAAACGACTGCAGTACCTACTGACTGTGTTATTTTATGAGCAATGCGATGCCGCAATAAAGTTATTTACAGGTAATAATAGGAGCATTAAACGTTATTTACGAAGACTGTTTGCTTGCTTATAAAATAGGGAAAAGACGGGGAAGTAGGTTAGATATACTTGGTTGGTGTACGGAACCAGTACAATAATAAAGAAGTTGCAACCAGCTATCTTCGCGTTTGGACTTTATCACCACTTAACATCAGGTGGGCTAGAGCATTTGCCTACCTGGATATTAAAAAAATAACTGAATAGGGTATTTGACAAGTTTTAGAAAACGATCGCACATTATTACCTTATATTTATGGAGTCCATAAAAAGTGAAGTACATCATTCCGATGTGTATTTCAGTAAAAAAACTAAATCAAAAATTCAATTTTCAAGTTGCCGCGAAAATGTTTATCTGGAAATTAGGGCGTCGCATTGGTATGTGACGTCACACGATTGTCATTAAAACGTCAAACGATGCAATGTAATGTCACTTTGACCGTAAGTTAACTAGCGTGTGACGTCATTTTAGTCTTCGTCAATCCCAGGCGTTTCGGTCACGGGACCATAGAACATAAATATCATTTCTATTAATTATTTGTTCTCTCAGAATAGCAAAATCGTTTCTCATGTTCCTATAGCGAGTTTCCGATACTTCGGCACTATTGCAAGCGCCATGATCACGCAGTAACAGTGCCGAAATATCGGAAACTCGCTAAAAACAAGGTGCATGGTAACAATCCCGTAAATAACTTATATTACTATAATGTTAGTGACCATGAAAGTTTAAAACGATATAAATAGCCTGTTATTGCTAGGTTAATAATGTAAGTGTATGGGTAAACACATATTTGTTATACCCGTCAACGTTAATATATAGAGTTGTTATATGTTTCCGAGATCTCTCCTTCAATAGGCATAATGACGGGGTAAAGTAAAGGACTGACTAAATAGATTTAGTCCGTCAGTTAGATGATCAAGAAATAATGGAGACGTATATTTTCTTTGGGCAATCAACCAAAAAATGACAAAGATAATGCGCGTCAAAGTTTGGGAGTAGGGGCTCGTGACGTCACTTTCAAGTGAAAATTGTACAAAAACCTGACGTCATGCGACTTTTCAAATCAGTATATCTCTGCAATGTTTACATTATGTGAAAAAAGAAAAAATACGTGTCCAATACTTGTTGATAATCTACCTGATAAACGAAGAAAAAAAATTAGTCATCATCCCTATTGTGTGATCCAAACATTGGGCCTCTTACTGGCATGATTTTCAAACACCGGGTTCCTTAAAGTAGACACATACAACGGACCCCTTAGGTATGCTGGAGGTAGCTTAGTTTACCCTTAACTTTTTAATCAAATATTAGGGAGGAAGATTAATCAAACTACGAAATTTATCAGTCTTCTTATCTTTTTCTCAAATTGAATTTTTACAAGTTAGTACTTGAAATTCATTCAGTTCTGATAGCGTTCCTGATGACAGTAGAAGGTTGAATAAACACAGCTTTAAAAAGTTTAGAGAAACAGGACCTTTATCTGAACATATTTTTTTGGCAGCAGTACTTTTTATCTCTATAGCATCATAAGGAAGTATTTTCGTCAACTTAGCTTGTAGGTTCAGTATAGTTAGGCCAATTGCATAGTCAACTAAAAAGTCTTTCAAACAATCTCGGGTAGGCATAATGCATTCGTTGCATCACGCATTTAATCGCGTACTTACTGCTCACGTCGACAACACCTGGTTGAGTAAACAGTGCATACAGGTCGCGGCACCGAACTCTAGCGCTGAACAAAACGCGGATGGGAATGACTGGAGAGACAATCGGCGCACTATGGAAAATGGTAGAACAACGGCATATTAAAATCGTTTTTACTAATGTCGTTACTGACGCACTTTATTTTTTTTAATCGTAAAGAGTGGAACTATATATCTAATGTAATAATTTTGGTTGTAATAAACTTGGAATATTTTTTTTTAATACGACAAAGTGTCAATTCGAAAAATGTCTATTACAGGTCTGTTCGCTTCATTATTTAAAAATTGACTTCTTTCAGAATTTTGTGGGAACAGATATAAATTGTTATACATTCCTAAACAGTCCATTGTATGTGGATTTTAAAGCAATTATAATATTGTTGGTTTTATAATAAATTTTTAATGAAAAAAAAAATGTTAGTGGTGCGAAAAATAAAGTTTTCCAACTTCATCGAGACAGTTACCGACGTCTCCCGACGCCTTACATTTGATGTTATTGTGTAGCGTAGATATTCATAAATAACATATATCAAAATCAGCTGCGGATTCGTGCGGATTTTTAGTTTTCGCGAAAAGTATGATATAACCTCTATCTATTCTGGTTGAATATTCTATGATAAGTTTCCGTTATATTCAAATTTATTGTTAGTTATTTATTGATAATATAGCGTTTTATCTACATTTTGCACTCATTTTGCGGTACAACTTTCATCAACAGAATGCACACTACCCTTAACTATCAAACAATATTTAACGTGTGGATTCATTTTATACAGCTATTTAAAGTTAGTTTTATTACGAATATGACTTGTATCCGCAGCTGTTTTTAATACATTTTATTTATGAATATCTACGCTACAAATATAGTATATATTTTTTTTAGTATAAATAATACTTACAAATTAGTACCATGTAACTTTCATATTTTGTGAAATAAATATTTGTAATCGTAACTTTTGATTGCTTATTAATAAGGTGTGTTTTAATTTATTTTATAACTAGCTGTACCCTGCCACGCTTCGCAGTGGCACATTGTGATTTAATGGTTGGAAAATGAGAAGCAAAACAAAGAATACATTTCATATAAGTTTAATTTTGCAATACTTGTAGATATACAATATTTTTTGTTTTTCTACTGTCTGCGTAGATATATAGACTATCCGAAGTAAAAGTTTGCCGACTCGGGAACACGATTATTAAAAAAGATTCACTTCAATAATAAATATGTTTTGTTATTGATTAATTATTAACTAATATTTTACTTATTTATTTAATTAATTAATATTAAATAAATAATAATTGCAAAAAAAAAATATTTTTACTGTCCATCTTTGATATAAAATATAACCTCTACTTACGATTTGGTGAAAGGCGCAGTTCGATCACAACACTATCACACCAAAAATTCTTGATTTAAGTGAATATTTAATTCAGATTGTATAATAATCACAATCAGATGCAATTTTTTTTGTAAAAAAAACAATGT